TTACAAGGAGCCTATGCTGCTAAGGGTGATGTCTTAACCTTTCTGGACTCACATTGTGAAGCTACACCTGGTTGGGCAGAACCACTTCTCGGACGAATTGCAGAGAAAAGGTCAAATGTGGTTTGTCCAGCTATAGAGGTGATTAATGCTGACACGTTTGCCTATCAAGGATCCACTAATGCAGATCAAAGAGGTGGTTTTAGTTGGGATTTGTTCTTCAGATGGAAAGGAATCCCTCCTGAAGAACAGAAACTTCGTAAAGACGACTCTGATCCAATCAGGTAGGTTTTTACATTTTGAGGAGTAAAGTAAGTATATCTTTATCAGAATTAAAGTAGAGCTCTTTTAAAACCCAAATTCCGACAAACCAACTTCAACATTCAAGGTTGCGTTACAACGGTTTTTACTTTAAGGTGGTACCACTTAACTGTCTTAACTTTTTCCTACATCCATGTAACTATTGTTTTGCCCCTTTTGTACTTTTGCCCCATTCTTTTTCTTTTCTTTTCGTTCATGCCAACATTTGTAATTCCAATTTCATTATCAAACTAGGACACCAACAATGGCAGGAGGATTGTTTTCAATCCATCGTCAGTACTTCTTTGATATTGGTACTTATGATGAAGAAATGGACATATGGGGTGGAGAGAATCTCGAACTGTCATTCAGGGTAAGAAAGTCCAAAAAGTAGAAGTAGTTGTCAGTGTTTTATCCAACTTTGATCTCAGTCGTTATGTTTATTCATTGTTTGCTAKAAACGAAATGTCTCGTCAAACTATAATCACTTTTCCTCATCAGGTTTGGATGTGCGGAGGGCGCCTAGAAATTGTCACGTGCTCAAGAGTTGGTCACGTGTTTCGGAAATACACAAGCCCATATAAGTTCCCAGATGGAGTCGAAAGAACTCTTACAAAAAATTTCAACCGTTTAGCTGAGGTTTGGATGGATGAATACAAGGAGCTGTACTACAACAAAAAGCCTCAGGCGAAGAATAGTGATTATGGGGACATCAGCAAGAGGGTGGCTCTCAGAAAAAGGCTGAATTGTCATTCTTTTAAGTGGTACATCGACAATGTTTATCCTGATGTACAAATGCCTGAACTCAATCCACCGGCCAGAGGAGAGGTACCCATATTATACTTCTACATACGCTCTTGTTCTTTAAAACGACAAACTAGAGCATGGAGTGGGGAAAGGGGGGGAGGGGTGGTGGATTGGCTAAAGGAAAAAATATTAAGTGGAAAAATTTAGGGCTGCGGAAAATGAACCAATTTCTTTCAGGTGAACGCTGCTTTAGTTGTTTTTTAGAATAGGTACCATTCAGATTTTATTTCTTCCTTTATTCGCTTATATAATAATTCCTATCTTTCCTATTTTTGAACCCTAAAATGAGGGTGGCTAATCATCCCCCTATATCTGCTTTGAGGCAGTTGACCGCGTCTATAACGGAAACCATCACAACGTTGACAATAGATGAGGATATGAGAGTAGGTAAAAAAGGAAGGTCAGATCGGTTTGAATTGAACAGGAAAAAAGAATAAAGGAGGGGGAATAAAAAAAAACACAAAAAATTGATCAAGCAGTGCAGAACGAGTATAAGAAGCTTCGAGTCTACCAAATAATAAACACCTACGAAAAGAGAAAAAAATGAAACTTTATACCAGAAGTAAACAAAACCTGTCCGATTCTTGATCTACACTTTATGCATGGCTTGTAGGTTTATAATTTTTACAACATCTAATATAACGAGGGTGTTTTTGCGGTAATTTCAGGTGCGGAACCCTTCAAGTGGATACTGTTTGGATTCACTCGGAGCAAAGCCCGAACATAACGCGCGTGTTGGGATCTATGTTTGTCATGGACAAGCAGGGAACCAGGTAAGCACAAAACATCAGCATCGACAACATGACTGAGCGRCAGGTGATTGTGTAAAGTKTATATTAATTTCTTTATAATTTTTCTAGATGTTTGTCTTGTCATCAAAAGGAGAGATTATCTTTGAGGAAGAGAATTGTTTAGATGTCTCCAAGACGTACGCTGGGGCTCCAGTTGAAATGATGAAATGTCATGGACTTGGTGGTAATCAAAAATGGGACCATTCAAAAGCTCACGTGAGTCATCTTGTTATATGATATAGATGCCACACTAATGGCATTTCATTAACTTCAAAAAGAAATAGAACTATCACCCAATCCTTGTTCATGGTTGATCATAGCAGTCGAAGGTTGTTCAGAAATGCTCTTATTTTTGCCTTTTCTTCTTTATTTTCCCTGTGTTTCTCTGGGTTGAGGGGTCATAGTCGTGTCTTGACTTATGCATTACTAAATGGACAAACAAAAGTCCAACTGTGGTGTTATCTAAACTATGCTTATGTCTTCATCTTGATTGTTGTGTCTGACCAAACTTGAATCAAGCCAACGGCACCTCGTTAGAAATTAGGCGTGGTTGAAACTAGTGGAAAACTAGTGTGAGCTGCGTCGGTGTTTCTAAGAAGAAACGTAAAAAAGTAGGTTAAACAACTTACTGACGGTTCGGTTGTTAATCCTTCGCTTCTGTACTCCGACTTTCACCTACTTTTTACGGTGTTAAATTTATMTTGTCACACAACTGAGAAATTAGGTATACCTTGTTGCCTGTGTAGGAGACTTGTTTAGMTCCCGCAATGCCTTTCGGTCATGYATTCTCCATTTTTCTCCCAACGATCTTTTTAAAATCGGTGTWATTAATAAGARGACTCTCTCTTACAGGGAATACTAAAACACATCAGTACACAGCAATGCTTGGACAAAGGATCRCCKGGAAACCAGTACGCTATTATGAATCCATGTGATGGTCGTGAATCTCAACGATGGGTATTCTCTCACTATAAAGATAAATAATTTTTTATTGAATTCAAATTAGGATTATTGAATTAGGTCGCTCTTGTTAGCAACGTAGGAAATAACGGTAATAGAAAACATTGCATTGTTAAATCATATTATACAAGTACTAAAACTTCCATCTTTGATTGATATATGTAGTTTTTCTGAGATATTTTAGGCTGGGACTGATGAATAAAACATCAGAATATACAGGATTGGTGTCCACAATTTTAACAACAAGAAGTATTGTCTTGAATACGCATTCATTGTACAAAACAAAACAACATCATCTTCCTGCACTTTTTGGCTGTATTGAAATGACTGTATTTGCTCAGATTATATTTTTCTTCTGAATGTTTCTCGGTGTTTTCTAAACCAATCAAATTAAGTAGATAGCTATTATTGAACATATAATATTGTTAAAATACTGTCATGCACGTATAAGTAATTGTATTTTCATATTTCACTTGGTACAGTTTCGTTCCTTGTAACCCCATTTCGTACTGCGTCATATTTCACCAAGCATGCGCAGTGCGAAGTGGGACCCGACCGTCCGCATTTTCAAAATGGCGGAGGGAGAGGTCCTGGGACCGAGGCTAGTACATGTGCATTAGAGTGAAGATTCAAAACCCTTGAATCAGAAACGAATATTCTGAAACCGATGTAGGGTTTGTTTCTTCTCTTTATTGTCATAAAATGACCAGCCAGCAATAGGTCAATATATTTTTACAAAAACTTAGTGATTGATAATAAATGTTTCTAGGCTTTTTGAATGTGATTTATTCAAATAAACGTCATTAAAAAAAGGGCTGTTTGTATTTTTTTGTCCACCAAGTGGATTATTTTCATCTCCTTTGAATATCATTCGTTTTACTGCAAGGCCATCATATTTGACATATATAATTTTGATTAGTTCTTTCATCGAAGACTGGGTTTTTTTACGACTAGGATTTGCTTGTCCCTTCCTTTTCGCATGCTAATTAGGTTAGGAAAGTAACCTTAATCACTGAGAAAATGATTAGTATACTTTTGAGATGTTGGGTTTTCATTTCCATATAGATTAAGATCAGATAAATGTGACACTGGTAAAAAACGCACTGCGCATGCCCACAGCTTTCCCGCCAGTGGGCGCTCGCGTCTTGAAATCTGTAAACAGAGCGCATGGCACGCCTGGCGATTTACAGCGACAACACAGAAAACACTACGAAAAACCTCATTTTCTCAAAATAGAAATAACAAGATAAAAGTAGAAACTACATACTAAAAGAACATGTCATGAACAAAGATTGATGGAAATATGAATCTTATATATCSGTKAACGARCTTATAAATTGTAAAAAACTTTCACAAAAATCGCTTTACAAAGGAAATTRGGGAGGTKTCAGYGGGAAGGCTGTGGACATGCGCAGTGCGTTTTTCACCAGTGTCGATAAATGTAAGATTGTAGTAATTTCAGACCACTTAGGTACCCTTCTGGTGTGTTACTCGGGCTTCTTAAGCTATGCCTGAGGCACCAATCGGTGTTRTTATTAGTTTTTCTTTTTCTTCTGTTGATTTTAGACGGAAAACATATAACGAGATTCTTGTTTTTGGCTATGTGTGAGAATCGTGCCCATGTATCCCAGGATAATACATGTATATCAAGGAACCCTTTTTAAAAGACTGGAGAATCATGAGAGTGTAAATAGCTCGATGTAGATATTGACCTGATTGCGTGGATTACTGGGGGATAATGCCATGATAACGTGCAAAATAGATAATTTTATCTACTTGGTCAGTGGTCCCTCTATCAATAAAATTTATAATTGAAGACTGGTATTAGTGGTGTATCAGGAGATAAGCCAACATAGACGCATATCTTTTTTTGCTATTGTCGTGAGGAATAGCCAGACCTACTCGGTTTGGGCATTTATCCCATTTTCTGAGAAGATAAAGGAATTTGATGAAACGGAAGTAAAAATTCCATTCTAGATAGACTGGTTAAAATCGCTTAATCCAAGTTGGTCGGACGTTTACACGCGATTGAAGACCACGGCTGCTAAACGACGATTGTTGCGCGCGATTAATTGCACCGGTTTAAACATCATCGTTGTAAACCGTTATTAACATCACTTCGTGAGATCAAACTGACTACACGTATGGCCTCTAACTATATAAGAAATTAATAATACTGCGGAAATGGAGGACAAGGACTGGGCTTGATCCTTTCTAAAGTAAGTCTTTGAATCGAATAATTAATTTTCTATCCTCATGTACGATTTCAGTTTATTTCTTATAATTTATTCTTGAATAATTTAGATAAAATTAAAAACCTCATTACGTTGCCAAAATTAAAAGGAACGCGGAAGATATCTCAGGTTGTCACATCAGGAAGAGTACACTGACGTCCGTGGGAAATACAAAGTTTGGTAAGAAGTAAACAATTATATGTTGTATTACAGTAAGCAACTATAATGTATAAGAAACTGATATATTAATCAACTGACATTGGCAATAAATTAAAAATTGTACATTATAAACGGTCACTACTATAACATTACAGGTATACGGAAAAAAGCGAAATAATTTCACAATGGCACGATTAGAATTAGGGACATCGAATCGTCCCATTCATTTGAAAAAGCTTGCCAAAATGGCCTTTGTTGAAAGTGCTTATAGAAATTGAACGACCGGATGCTTGCTTATAGACTTGCAAAGTTTTCCAGCTGCTTATATGCTAGGATTCTCGTTAAAATGCGTCTTTGGGCCAACTGTTTACTTCGAAAAGAAAAATTGAAAAATTGAAAATGGTTTACTCGCAGACCATTCACACTGCTAATGGTCAAAAAGATCAGTTGATGCTCCAACATCATCAAGGATGGCGGCTGGAGTTGATTTAAACCATGAAAAATTTTAAAAATATGAATGAATTCACTATTACTTGTGTTATTAGGTTGAAGAATTAAAAGAAAATTATATCTGTTATATGAGGGTCTCAATGGGGTTAACCGTGAGTCGTGAAACGGCTGAAAAATTAGCCGTGAGTCGTGAAAATGTGAAAAAAAATTAGCCGTGAGGCGTGAAAAAGTCAAATTTTTAGCCGTGAGTCGTGATACGGACCCCCCCATTGAGACCCTCTTATATAGTTTTCATTCCCACATCAATGCCATACCATCCTCGGGAACCCAGGGGTAATCTTCTGTCGTTCGTTCTGAGGAACGAACGACAGAAGATAACCACTGGGTTCCCGAGGATGATGCCATACATCAATCATGCTTTTGCGGGAAGTTCTTGGATATGTTATGCATCGATTCTTAATCATCATTGCTTTATCGATGATATGAAATATAGTTGACCGATTTCACAAAAGAGTTCTTGGTAATTTAAAACTGCGCGAAGCCTTTTGGTCTAAGTGTGGCAAACTAACTTTTAGACTTTTTGGGTTACCTGTCATTTCAAGAGTATTTGCAGCAGAGTATTTTGGAACGTGGGGGAGGGGAGGGAGGAGGGGTCATCTGATACTGTACCTTTTAAAAATCTTCTAAGACGAAGAATAAGAAAAGAGGAAAAAAGCGGCTTCCTGAGGTGGATAACGGACTCTGAAAACGCTGTGATATGATTGTGTATTTATATTGTGTTTTGTTAAGTGCAGCTTGTTCAAAATATGATATTGCCAAAGAGTAAATCATGAAGTATATCATATAATTTACGTCGGTAAAACTGAAAAAAAAAAAAAACATTTTGCCCTCGAGATCATATTTGATGATAAGTACATCTGGAAAAAATTATTTCTCGTCAAATTTTAAGATATTTAAGTGACATTTGCACGCCTGTGGCCCGTGAGCATGCGGTGTGAACAAATGACGTCATGGCGCACCCACTAACATAGCAATTTTCTATTTGATTTTAGGCTCTATGTTGGTCGCGGGAACAGTCGAAAGAAAGTCCCTCTAAATGGCTACAACTCAAGTTTTGGTCCGAATGAAGATTATTTCCATAACGAGGCYATAAAACGGCAAACAGGCGTCGTAAGGGGATTCCCGTTAAGCCAAATAGCCTCATTTTCAAACCGAGGTTAACCGGAAGAGAAATTTATATGCCAACGTGTCCTATCGGTAAGTCAATGTTTAACACTAAACCACGGCCACCATCGAAACCCGTCCGTATCACTGGTTACAAGTGATTTACCAGCTGCTTTGACTTAAACTCAGAGCCTTCTGGTATTAATACTCCATCAACAAATGACAGTGATTTGAGGCAAATTGCCCGCGCGCAAGCTTCCCGTAAAAATCATGACAAGTAGAGACGACGCGTGGAGATGACACTGAACGTTCTTCTGAAAGAACTATGTCTCGGTCGAGAAAGCGCTACATTGTAGCTACGATCTTTCTCACCTCTGCATTTTGGCTTTCTATTGAAGTCGCATTACTATGTTACACAAACCGGCTGACGAATGACGACAATCAAATTATAAGTGAAGGTAAATCCAAGGTTGAAGGCAGACGAAGTTGGAGTCTCAATGAAACAAACACGAAATTGGTAACTATTGAAGAATTCAAATCAATGTATCCAAACACAATACACTTTGTATCGAAGCAAGGAGAAAATGGCGCTAAAGTGTACAACAGTCCTAGTGAAAAAGAAACAGAACAGGAACAATTCCGGCTGTATCAATTCAATGAGCTAGCAAGCTCGAAAATATCACTTCTCAGAGAAATTCCAGACAACCGTCCCAAATCGTAAGTACTACCTGTATTTTGGATACTCGTTTGGTGTAAATTCTTTCATTACACTGTAACTAGACATAACAATTACTACTTGTCGTGAACGAAGGCTGAAGAGTTCGGATCAAAATAATCTTTCCGTGTGTTTACATAGCCAATTGGCAAACTTTTCAAGCCGCGGCCAAAAGATAGTATTATAAAGGCACTGGTCTACACGGGCTCGCAGACCTATGAATATTTTATTTGTAGTAAGCGTTTAAGACCTTAAAAATCACCTTATGGGTATTATAAAGAGAAGAATTGTTAAATTGTCGAGGTTTGATTTCTTTTGAAACCATTCAGGCGGAATAATAATTCTGAGTATCTGAATTACGTACATCTATTTGACCTCGAAAATATATTCATCTTACAGATAGGTGATCTTTACAGAAATGGTATAGATTGCATTGGATTCATTTAAAAGTAAATTGTAGTGAACACATATATTTTTTTAAATTTGTGTTACTGTACATATATAACCTTTATTTAAATTTGGAACAGTTCTGAAACGGAAAGACATAAGTTTCATGTTCAATTATTCAACATAAACAATTCTAATAAACAGCCAAGAGGATATATATTTTATTTTGCACTCATATAAAATACACTTAACATTGAATTTGGTTAAATTTGACGCGAACGCTTGCTAATGGTTATCGTTGTTATAAGCGAAAGGTCAGTGTATAATTGGGGAGAATTTAGGGTTGTTTACATCAAGCACTGTTCTCAACCTAGGCCACAAAAACAACACCAATCGCCATAACTTGTGCGATAAATTGTTATAAGTGACTTGAAAGGAAAGATAAAGTGAGAATATTTGAAATATAAATATTTTTATTATTTTTTAGTTGTTTCAATGTGATGTACCCTATGTCAACGCTCCCAACTGCAAGTGTCATTGTAATTTTCCACAATGAAGCCTGGTCGACGCTGTTACGAACTGTACACACCGTCTTGGCACGATCCCCTCCAAAATTCCTACTTGAAATTATTCTAGTGGACGACTTCAGCGATAAGGAGAAATATAGTGAGTCATTTGAAAATATATGTATGTATATAAAAACTCTCACACACCTGTTTATACACTTTTTCGCAAACATTTCGTTTATTTATTTTCTTTTTTTATTGTTCGATAATTGCACTAATGCTTTGCAATTCATTAAAGGTAAAATATTTTTAACTATCTGCGAATCTGATAGCAATATTTTACGAGCTAGTTAACGAAGCTGTTTGATAGGTGGACTTGATAATATCTCGTGGAGATTGTTGTCATGGTTGCTTATACATTCTATAAATATGGAAGTCTTATTTTGCATATATATATATACAAATGTTACATTTACTAATTATGTTTAATGTCTTAGGTCTTAGACTTAATTACTTTTTTTATTGTTGTTTATCTTTTTTATTAAAGGCCATACACATATAATAGGATTGAACTGCAGAAATCGTGAACGAAAACATACTCTAGTTTATCGAAATACCAGCAAAATGAATGGGTTCCCCGCGAATTTTGTCTGCCACATAATATAACATTTCGCGCGATTATTTCCAATACTGTAACCCTCTTCCGGCAGTTCAGTGTTTTGACCCAGTCTTTAGTAAAAACACACGTCTACCTGAACCAAAGTCACCCAAACAAACTTGCTTGGGTGACCTTGGAAAAAAAGATATTCAAATTTAGATAGAGACGACGAAAAAAAATAATAATAAAGCTAGATGAAGAGTAATTCTAGCAGCGACGTAAAAAAAACCATTCCATAATATATTTCAATAAAATTCTCGTTTTTTGTGGTTTCTCTGGTTTGAGATAAAAACTATTTTATTACCAGAGGCTGTTAGCTTTCTTGGAACAGCAGGGAGGAAGTGTTCTAAAACGACATAATAAATTAGCAAAGTGTACCCTCCAGGATACACAATATCTTCAAAATGAAATGCCGTTTTTTGTTGTAGTTTTTTTTTTTACATTCAAACAACTTGTATTTTGAAATCAAGGTTTAGTAAATTTAGCATAAAAATTTCTGGCTGAAATGATCAAAAGCGAGAAATGAAAAATATAATGAACCGAAAGAAAAAGCTATTTCACTTATCGAAACGAAATTCCGCGTAAACATATCGCTTTTTCCAAATCATTAACTTCAAGAATCAAAATATAGCGGTTATCCTAAGACTACACGAGTATGTTTATTAAACATATTTTTTGTGGTCTCTTTATCCTTTTAAGAATTTTAAACAACAACACTGGAAGTTTTTTGGTGATTAAAAATTCAATTGTTATAATTTGTGATCCACAATTGCTGTCATAAATTTTACCTTTCTCGTGTCAGGTAATAGCAACTGTTTGACATCATTGTTTTTCAAGTATTCTTTTTTCTGCACTTTTTTCATCTATATGTTTTCTATGAGTTCGAGTGGGGTCTGGCGGTTATAATATTCCATCAGCGATTACGAAAGGGAGGATTTTTCAGTTATCTTTGCTAGTTTGGCATAGCGGACTCTTATCAATAATTGATTGAAACTGTGTGAAAGAAGTGATTATTCTCACTACAAAAATCAATTCCACGAGCTTACAATAAACCTTAAAGCTAGTTCGCCAAGAGCTTTCCTTTTAAAGAAATTGAAGCAAAATATTCTGTGTTTACAGCAAAAAAATCCTGTTTAAAATGGATTAGTTTTTTTTTCCAGCTTTTTTACCCCGAGTGACATATTAACACAAGTTCCTGATCATATGTCAAATCTCCTTAAATTAAAAATCTTGTTATGTGCTGCCAAATAAACATATGGAACTTTTTAGTGATCAAAGGCACGCAAAACTGAAGGGAGTCTTCTATACCATTAAGAATGACAATGTTATAAATGGCCCTTGAAACTCCAACCGTTTTTCCGTTTTACGAAAGAAATTACATGTRAACACTAGAAARCACACTAGAAAACTTTTTCTTTAATCATAAACTCAGTACGCCTAATTTACCACTTTGCATTTGCGGTCGTTGTATTTTAGGAATATTTAGAAAGATTATCAACTCGATCGTGATTGCGAAAGGTTATTTTCAGTAATGACCAGAAACGTTGTGGATTCTGGTTCAGTTCAAAGCCATTATTTTCGTTGATATGCAGTGGCTTCAATCTATGCCAAGATCTCACACGACGATAATTTCTCTTGAAAGAAGAGACGTGTTTTAGTTATTTATTATGCACTAAAAGATTTTTACCATCTTTCAGCTACGTCAAGTATCCAAAATTCTTGAAAACGAACCTACAAATATTCCCATACTGTAGTATAGAAAAATTAAATAAATAAATATTCCTTTTCTCTTAACAAAAAAGATTTTTTTTATGTTATTACTCATTTATATTTATTAACAGGTCATCTTGGAGAAAAGCTATCCAGTTACGTTGACGAGCTTGAAAAAGTCCATTTGYTACGTACCCCGAAACGGGAAGGTCTGATTCGAGCGCGTCTTTTTGGCGCGAAAAAAGCGCGCGGTGAAGTCCTGGTATTTTTGGATTCCCATTGCGAGACGAATTATGGTTGGTTGGAACCGCTGCTTGCAAGGATTGCAGCAGATAGGACAATAGTTGTCGCACCGGATATAGAAGTTATAGATTTGAAGACATTTGGGTATGCGAAAGGTCAGGGGGGTGACAACCGTGGCATATTCAACTGGGAGTTGACTTTTAAGTGGAGGGGTCTTCCTGATTATGAGAAACAAAGACGGAAATCAGACGCAGATCCAATCAGGTAGTGTACAACTAGCACGACCCCCACCAACCCCTCCCCACAAAAATCTGAAATCATACACTGGAAAAAATCGCGCACCATAAAGGTTGTAAATTTGATGGAAATATGATGTAAGTGTCCAAAATGATGTAAATGTGATGGAAATGATTTACGTCAAATTTACATCATTTTGGACACTTACATCATATATACATCAAAAGCGCGCGATTTTTTCCAGTGCATATGCCATTTTAATGCCTCAACTTTGATATTTAAACACAACAAAATTGTAAAATGATTGTTATTATTTCCCTAGTCGGAGTCTCGTCTTCAATTTTGGTTGGTCAACTAAAATTTCAAAGTAATTTTTGCTATTTTGAGGGTCTAAGTTTTTGTCTCTAAATACTGTGTTTGTTTCCAGATCTCCGACTATGGCGGGCGGACTTTTTGCCATTGATAAGTCGTATTTTTACGAGCTTGGAGCGTACGATACCGCCATGTCATACTGGGGAGGAGAAAACGTAGAGATATCATTTCGAGTAAGTGTTGATTCTTGTCTATTTTATAATGATACGATAATGACCGAGCCCAGTGGAAAACTGCCTTTGAATAGTGGAATGGAAATCATTTTAATAAAGTCCAAACTTTGAAATGCACA